AACCCGCCCCGTCGAGTAACGGTTGTCGCCGGCAGTTCCTGGAGCAGAAGTACGGGTACTACCACTGCAAGGACTGCAACATCCGCTGGGAGAGTGCCTACGTCTGGTGCGTCCAGGGCACCAACAAGGTATGGGGGGCTCCACCACGCCCGGCTCGGCCCGTCCCGTCCAAGCCCCACCGCTCATCCCACCCTCTCCCGCCCCCCCAGGTCTATTTTCGGCAGTTCTGCCGGACCTGCCAGAAGTCCTACAACCCGTACCGCGTGGAGGACATCACCTGCCAGGTAAGGAACCTCCTCAGCCCCGCTCCGGGCCGCCCCCGGGACGCTCGGGGCCACCGACCCGACGCGGCCGCCTTCTCCCCTCCCAGAGCTGCAAGCAGACGAGGTGCACCTGCCCCGTGAAGATGCGCCACGTGGATCCCAAGAGGCCCCACCGGCAGGACCTCTGTGGGAGGTGCAAAGGGAAACGCCTCTCCTGCGATAGCACCTTCAGTTTCAAATACATCATCTGAGTGGGTTGGGATTTTGGGGGTTTTGCTTTCGTTTAGGGCTCTTCTAGAAAGCTGCAAGTCGAGCAGAATTTTTTTTGTTGTTGTTGTTAGTGTTGGAAGTTACTCAGTGAGGTGTAGCTGGGAAAGCAAGTGAATAAAAGTACTGCAAAGCACGCTCCCGTGCTCGGGTGGGTTTGTGCCCAGCTCAGAGGGCGCACATTGCAACCCCTGTAACTTGCAAAGGGGAAGAGCCTGCAAATAATATTTTGTAGTTCAGTGATGGTCTTGGCAGCAACTGACTCCAGACCTTGTAGAATCTCAGGTGGGATAGGATATCTGTCACTGCTCCTACTATTGAACTCATCATACACTTAAATTCAACATTGAATTTGCATCTACAGTAGGTAGCAGAGCCTTGCTCCTGAACAAAACACCTAAAAGCATTCACTTACTGTGCACACTTAGCATGTAGAAAGCCTCCTGCACCTGTTCCTCATCACTAGAAAATGATTGAGAAATGCTGTGTAAAACCTAGGTCACTTCTACTGGCACAGCTGGTCTGCATTTAGCTAAATTGGTGTTCTGGTCTTGTAAAGCCAAAGAAAGCTTGTGGCTAATGCATTTTCAGGGTCAGTTCTCACAAACTGCTGGGGAAGGGAGTCACTGCTGTGATAGTCTTTTGCTAAATTAGTTGCTCATCTTTACTTTCACAAGGTTACCAAGTGACACTTCAACAGCTCAAAACATGATACTGCATCTGCCTGGCTTCCTCTTGTACCTGCAGGAGAAGCACAAGAGCTGTGCCCTCAGTGGCTTACGCTTGAAGAGCTTCATCTAGTTATGGTTTAGGTGTCTGCCATCAGGGAAGGATCAAATTCTCACACCCTTCTGGGGTTGGGTTTGCAACTGGGAATTGTACTTCTGGTGTATGGTAGTAAAGGGAGAACCAGTGTGGTGACTCCCCGGTGACACTGTCTGAGGCCTACTGGTGCTGTCAGTGGCAATGGCCTCTGCAGGGACACCGTGCTTCAGCAAAGCGCTACAAGCTGACTCTGGTTCTACAGCATCACCATCTGAGCAGACTCACAAGCCAGTAAAACCTACACCCCACTAGTCTACCCTGTAGCCAAGGAGTTGCATAAACTTGGAGGAAAACATACTTTTCTGAGAATGCTAATAAAGCTGTTGATTTTGAAATTGCACAGAATGGTGCACAAAGCCTTTTGCAGAACTCTTGGGGTAGCTTCTAGTTGGGAAGACTGATACCTACACCTGTACCCAGCTTTCTCGAGACAACTCTGTTGAAGATTAAAGGGGGAACCTGTCTGTTTAACAGCTTCAGTTAAAGGTGGTCTTGCATCTCTCAATGGAGGCTAGTGTATGGCAGGGTGGGCAAACGTTCTCCTTTGTGCCAACAGCTGTCCATTGAGAGGGGCAGTGAGTGTTAATGCCGTTGGCTTAACTCATCTTGCTGTAGATTCCCCCTTTATTTCAACATGCCCCTTGAATTTGCTGCAGTAACTAAGGCTTAATGCCTCAGTGCCAATTTATTGCCAAGTAATTTTATTTAGTCTTGCTCCATTCATTATTATAGCAGCATGAAGCATCCTGGGAACACATAAACCTCCCACCCCCAGGATGGGGTACGGTGTTATTTCATGCTTCCACCTGCAGCATTTTCCCCTGTATCACAATAGAAGGAACTATCCCTTGATTTACTCAGAATGTCACAGTAAGTTCTATCCTTGCCCTGTTAAACTTGCAAAGTGCAACTGGAGTTGAGCAATTTTCTGTTGTAGATGCGTGTGCCTTGCACTCACCTTTCAGTAATGAGAAGCAGCCAGTCTCCAGCTTGAGGAGGAGCGCAGTTGAGGTCCCCTCTGCAGCCATCTACCCATAGTCTGCCTCAGCTTGCAGTTGCACCTGTGATCTGGGATTTCTTTTTATTTTCCAAGCCTGTTTCCCTCCAAGTAAGTTCTTCACTGTGTTCTTCTGTTTGCCTTCCTCGTCCTAAGAGCTGTAGCCTGTTTCTGATGGATGCAATGAGAGTGTGATGAGTCTGTGCACCTTGGTAATGTTCCTTGTCCTAACAGCTGTAGCCTGTTCCTGATGGATGCAATGAGTGTGATGAGTCTGTGCACCTTGGTAATGAGTTTGAGAAGTTAATCTCAGTGCCATGTCAGTATGAAGTCACATTGCAATAGGAGCAGTTGAGTGCTTCCTACTCACACAGATGTCCTCACGAGCACTGCTCAGAGGGTATGGTGACTCCTACAAAATTATTGCAGTAAAATTTGGTACAGCTTAGAGTCGTCATCCCCACCAACTACAGTCAAAGCAGGAGTTGCTTCCGTTGTGATGGTGTAGAGCAGGCCTGGCCCCTCTGAACTGCATGGAGTGATTCAGCAGCAGCTGGCCCAAACGAGCAGTTGATGAAGGCTCCAAGCAGCAGGTAACAGCAGCAAGGAGCCAATCCTGCCTTCATCAGCTACTGTGAGGTTTTGAGCCTTGGAGGAGTGGTGTAACTACAGTCAAAGCAGGAGTTGCTTCCGTTGTGATGGTGTAGAGCAGGCCTGGCCCCTCTGAACTGCATGGAGTGATTCAGCAGCAGCTGGCCCAAATGAGATGAAGGCTCCAAGCAGCAGGTAACAGCAGCAAGGAGGCACTCCTGCCTTCATCAGCTACTGTGAGGTTTTGAGGCTTGGAGTAGTGTGCAATGATGAGCACTACTGGACAAGCTTTCCTTCATCCTGCAGCATCCCTTGGTTCTGCAGGAGCTCTAGATGTCATTCCTCTTACGTAAATATATTCAGTGCTTTTACTGCTTGATGCCCAAGGACAGTTCTGCATCCTTTTCCACTTCACTGCTCTGTCATGTCCTTGACAGCATCTGCTGCTTATGGTGGGTGCTGGTTCCTAGACTCAGCAGAAGGAAGGAGAGCTGCTCGTCACTTCTGGGATTAGGCAAAGCAGAAAGGAACAGCCTCTGTGCTGCCAGTTCTTCAAAGATATCTTGAACTTGCCCTGCACAGCTTTTTTATAAAGAAGATTCGTTTGCATGCGTTAGCTCAGCCAGCCCTGCATTTGCTGCAGCTTAGAGAAGATGTCTGATGTCTCACTTGTTTCTAGAGAGCTTCACCAAAGCTTCAGGTTTGGCACAGACCTGGCACCAGGTAACGCGGGGTGACAGCTTACGCAGCAGTCGAATGAGTAATTTTGGAAAAGCTTCACAAAGTTAAAGCAATATCAAACGCATGACTTGGTTCTGCAGGAGCTCTAGATGTCATTCCTCTTACATAAATATATTCAGTGCTTTTACTGCTTGATGCCCAAGGACAGTTCTGCATCCTTTTCCACTTCACTGCTCTGTCATGTCCTTGACAGCATCCGCTGCTTATGGTGGGTGCTGGTCCTTAGACTCAGCAGAAGGAAGGAGAGCTGCTCGTCACCTCTGTGACTGACTTCTGGGATTAGGCAAAGCAGAAAGAACAGCCTTTGTGCTGCCAGTTCTTCAAAGATATCTTGAACTTGCCCTGCACAGCTTTTTTATAAAGAAGATTCGTTTGCATGCGTTAGCTCAGCCAGCCCTGCATTTGCTGCAGCTTAGAGAAGATGTCTGATGTCTCACTTGTTTCTAGAGAGCTTCACCAAAGCTTCAGGTTTGGCACAGACCTGGCACCAGGTAACGCGGGGTGACAGCTTACGCAGCAGTCGAATGAGTAATTTTGGAAAAGCTTCACAAAGTTAAAGCAATATCAAACGCATGATTCCGCTCCACTGGGTGTTTCCACTAATCATTGTAAATGGAGGAAGATGTATAACATAAGGAATTATGTATATAAATTCAGGTATGAGTTGCATGAGAAATCCTTTAACAGCTTCAGAAGATGCCTTGGAAAATGCTGTTGCATTGATAGGGCATAAAAGGAAAAAACCCACAATTTCAGGGCACCCAGGCCTCCATTGTCAGTGTTTCGGCTGTCTAGCTAAAGTATTTAAACTCTAGCTTGTAAAAATACACAAAATGACAGATACAATGTCTTTATTTTTACAAAAAAAGCTGGTAAAAGATGATGTAAATAAAAGTGTAATGCGCCACTAAATAAAACTACCCATCCCCCGTAAATACTTATTAAATAATTAAGAACACCATCTACAGTACCACAAAACCATCAAAATAATTCAATTTTATCAGGGACAGGGAAAAAAAATACAGTGATTATGGATGTGCCTTGACCAGTTACAGAGCTTGTTAGGATAACAATAACTACTGTCAGCAGTCCAACAGCGTGCACAGTGCCTTCAATTAATGCAGTTCAGCATAATTACATTTCTAGTGGGGTCCAATTTCCCCAAAAAGGCAGAGCTAAGAATTTCAATTCTACATTCTAAACTCTGGAATTAGAGCCCATTAAAAAAAATCACAGTGGGTAAGAGATGTATATAAAAATACTGGGTGTTCCTTTCAAATCACAGGAATCATGGGACTACATTCTTTTTTTCTGTTTTTGTTTTTTTTTTCCTTGTCTTCATTTTTTTTTTTTCTGTTTTTTGTTTTGTTTTTTTTACAAAATGCTATTGGTTTCAACAGAATCCAGTTTTATGCTACAGACTTTGACACTGAACTATGAGTATATTGCCTGTTTGCATGTTTTGGTAGTCAGTATTTTTTTTTTTTGTCTTTTTTTTTTTTTTTAATATAGTCCCAATTCCTTAGGCTTAAGTTGAGTCATGAAGATGCATATACGTGCATTCAAACTCCTTGAACCCTGCAGACTACTCAGACTGCAAGTAAAATATGTGACTACCGATAGGGAGAACCCCCCCCCTTCCCCTCATAGCTTTATACACCTACTGTCTTAACAGTGCATTGCACAAATTTACAAGAAAAATACTGGTTTTGCACTATACAGTTTCTAGAATATATACAGAATAAAATAAGTTAACTTCTAATGAGAATTGCTGATGGGCAGCATATATCTTTAATATACATTTTAAAGTCTCTGCAGGCAGCTACTTTTTTGGTTAGTTGTTATCATTATTTGTAACATAAGCACTGATCAGAGAACTGAGCAGCATTCCAATAAAGTTAACAGATATATTATTTCTTTTAGAAACACTGGGAAATCCCAGTTTAAAATATTATTAAATGTCCTAACATTTACACACTATGAGGATTAGATCTAATAAAATAAAATTTCTTCAAAAATAATCTTGCAGCTCTTTTAAGCATGCTCTGAGACCTTATTT